AAAGAAGAAAAATGGATCGTTTCGAGGATTTGGCCAGACAACAAAGATAAACGGGCGGCAATATGGAATCAATTGTCCGAAACTTTAAAAAGGACCCGCAATCCAGGAAGCAGTCAATCAGCTATTACGAAGAGCGATTAAGAAGACTGGACAGCGAGTGGTCGAAGTTTGAAACAACTGACAACAAACTTCGACTGCTTGAAAACCCCCAGCTGGATCACTACTACTTTACAAAGGACTACTATAACAATATAATGGAAATTGTAAATCAGTACAAGGAGATTTTCGAGTCCGCAGTGCTCCAATTGGCTCAAACCCCGACGGGAGAATTGCGCTTAACAACTAATGAAGGAAGTACGTACCAACATGATGCTTCAGCTTCAAAAGTCAACACAGAAGCACGGCATGATACTGGAACCACACAGGCAGCTTCCAACGAGTACACTAAACTAGTCCGCAGACAAGGGGTAATGATGGCCTCGTTGCGACGGTTACTGAACGACAACGTTTCACCACGATGTGTTCCAACAATTAATAAACTGTGGGAAAATATAGAAGATATTCACTTCAGGATATATGAGATGTTCGACAACCCAACCGAGCAGGGCTACAAGGTCGATAACTTCATTTCACTTGAGGAAAAGGTATGGAGTACTTTGCAAGCAGCTAATAGTGACTCCCATACTGAGCAATCTTCAAACCAACTTCCGATTAAACTGCAATCCATTTCACTGCCGAAGATAATAATTCCAAAATTCGATGGCACCTATTTAAAATGGCAAGAATTTCATGACCTATTCTCGCAACTAGTAATAAATCAACCTCTCTCAAAAGTTCAGAAAATGTGGTACTTGAAAACTCACTTAGTGGGGGAGGCTGGAAATTTAATTAAACATTTCGCATCAACAGGAGAGAATTTTGATGCAGCTTGGTTCATGCTTCTGGAGCGTTACAACAACAAACGCTTGCTGGTGAGTAAGTTAGTACAGGAGCTAACTACTACACCTGGAAGCACATCAATGGACAATGTCAAAAAACTGCATGACACAACACAAGAATGTCTATTAGCATTGCAAAATTTGCAGATAGACACATCAACATGTTATCCACTTCTGCTCCCCCTTCTACTAAAGAAACTGGATCAACCGACTCGTTTGCGGTACGAACAATCATTATCAAAGCCACGGGAGGTACAAACACTCAAGGAATTCCTGCAATTTCTGGAGAAACACTTTCAATCCATGGAAGCGATGGGTGTCAAAGACAAATCTACAAGCTCAACTGCAAAGGTGTGCACTTCAGTCACATCCAAAGGTCATAGAAATGACACTTGCAGCATGTGCAAAAAAGGAAAACATCCATTATTTTCTTGCAAGGAATTTTTACAACAGTCTCCATCGGCACGCTTTCAGTTCATACAAGGGCAGAAATATTGCCACAATTGCCTAAAACCAGGACATGGTTCTAAAAATTGTATATTAAGAAACTGTCTGAAATGCAACAAAAAACACAACACGCTGTTACATTTCGAGGATTCAAAAAGGGATGTGAGCAAACCCATTACATCAGTAGCCACTCCAACACAAGGCAACGAATCGCAAAGTACTACACCATCCAGGACCAAATCAACGCCATCAAAAGACGAAGCAGCGTCACTTACCACCGCAAAGCACACAAAGTCAAACACGTATGTACTACTCAGCACTGCCATGGTGAAAGTTAGAGGAATCGGAACAGAAGTGCAGTGTCGGGCAATTCTCGATTCAGGCTCACAAGTTAATTTTGTGACTGAACGATTGGTTAAACGTCTTGGCATCTCAACTAAACCATCATCAATCTCCATTAGTGGCATCGGGTCAAGGAGCACTAAGATACAGCATCGAGTCAATGTGGCGCTACAGTCTCGGATCAACAACTTTACAACGCGGCTAGAGGCAGCGGTATTGCCTCAGATTATATCCCCGCAGCCGTCGCAAGAAATCAAGATCGACGAATGGCAAATTCCTGAGAACATCATGTTAGCCGATCCATCATTCAATCGTCCTGACAAAATTGATATATTGTTTGGGGGCGGAATTCTACAACCAACTGATGGCAGCAGGGCAAATCAAACTGTCAGATGACCTACACATTCTGCAAAATACAGTGCTGGGATGGATCATCGCGGGAAAAGTTGGTGGCAACTACATCTCAAATGCAATATGTGGAATCTGTACCAACGATGACATCAACTTAGATGCAGCCATTGCTCGATTATGGGAACTTGAGGACGTGGCAACTGTAAGAAAACAACATTCGGTAGCAGAAAAACAGTGCGAAGCTCATTTCGCACAACATACACTCATCAATGAAAATGGGAGATTCATGGCAAGGCTACCATTTCATGAAAATCCGGAGGCCTTAGGGGAATCCTATGGGATGGCGTATAATCGATTCCTGGCCTTAGAACGTCGACTGGCAAAATCGCTCCAGACAAAGAATCAATATGTACAATTTATGGAGGAATATGAGAACTTGGGGCACATGACGCAAGTGGATATTGATTCCATCAGTAAACCTAGGTACTTCATTCCTCACCATTGCATTGTGAGACCCGAAAGCCGCACTACAAAATTACGTGTGGTGTTCGACGCATCAGCAAAATCGTACACTGGCATGTCTTTGAATGACCTCATGTATACCGGGCCCACTGTTCAGAGCGAGCCTTTCACCATTTTACTTCGCTTCCGTTTGCCCAGGTTCGTCTTCACCACAGATGTAGAAAAAATTTATCGACAGATGCTCATTCAACCGGACGAACGCAAATTCCAACTTATCATCTGGCGAAAGGATTCAAGCCTACCAATAAAGCATTATCAGCTAAATACAATCACATATGGGACAAGATCTGCTCCATATTTAGCCACCAAATGTTTGCAGAAAATTGCAAAAGAAAATGCATTACAATATCCTCTTGGTGCTCAGTTTCTGCAGGACAATTTTTATGTAGATGACGGAATCGGTGGGTCAGACAGCTTAACCACGACGATGGAAATCCAACAGCAACTGATACACATCTTAAAACAACGTGGTCTTAACCTAAGAAAATGGTGCGCCAATCACTCACAATTACTGCAAAATGTTAGCAGGGAGGAACAAGAAGTTGACATAGACTTTGACAATGACATCAAGCAAACTATTAAAACGTTGGGGTTAACATGGATGCCTAAGATGGATCGATTCTGCGTAAAGGTATGCCTAGGAAGCTGCAGCCTTGCAACTAAACGCTCAGTCAGCGCCGATCTTGCAAGGCTATTCGATCCGTTGGGGATACTAGCACCAATTGTAGTCATGGCAAAAATGTTTATTCAAGATCTCTGGCAACTGAAGCTGACATGGGATGAAGCATTACCAGCCGATTTGAATGAGAGATGGACAACATTTCGAAATGATTTGCAAAAATTGGACAACTTGCAAGTTTCACGGCACGTGTTTGAAGGATACATCCCAGCAAAAATTCAAATTCATGTCTTCTCCGACGCATCAGAAAAGGCATATGGTGCTGCGATTTACATTAGATACGAGCTGGATGAGGGACGAGTACAAGTGAGGCTGCTCTGTGCAAAATCTCGTGTGGCACCCTTGAAACGGCAAACTATTCCTCGGCTTGAGCTCTGTGCATCAGTACTGGGTGCTCAACTAACTACAAGGGTCAAATCAGACCTTAAGCTAGACGATGTGGCTACATACTTTTGGACTGATTCACAAATCGTGTTGGCATGGATTAACTCATCCTCAGCATCATACCAAACATTTGTGGCAAACCGTATAGCTGTTATTCATGAGCACACTACCGCTGAACAATGGCGGCATATAAGCTCAAAAGACAACCCAGCTGACATTCTATCACGCGGACTGCCACCGGGGAGACTAGAAACCTGCAATATGTGGTTTTATGGGCCAACAATCTTGCTTGGTAAAGAAGACACTTGGCCTTCAAAGTATTCCAAGGCATTATCAGTAATCGACGAAGGTATCAACATGGAACGGAAAGGGGTGACATCAGTCGCTGTTGCAACCACTGGACATGAAGGAAGCGTACTTTATAGCATTCGACATAATGGCTCTTTCAAAACATTACAAAGAGTGACAGGCTACATGCTGAGATTTATCATCCAGGCCAGAAACCAATCGCGGGAGTCAGACATTCCCTTGACCGTACACGAATTGGAAAAAGCGCTTGTGGTAATCGTTCGTACAATGCAGCAATCGGACTTTGAGGAAGAGCTTCAGCACCTTAAAAAATACAACGAAGTACGCAAAAACAGTTCTTTCCGCAGCCTGTCACCGTTTCTGGACAATAATAGTATCATCTGAGTTGGAGGGCGTCTACAAGCATCAGAACTTGCATACGATGCCAAACACCCTATGCTAATTCCACATAACAATTCACTCGCCAAATTATTAGTACAAATGATCCATAAAGAAAACCGTCATTGTGGACCTCAAGCGCTCTTAGCTTACACAAGACAAAGATTTTGGCCTATAAAAGGAAAATTGCTGACACGATCAATTGTGCTCAACTGCGTAAGATGCACAAAGGCTAAGCCAAAACTAATGAGTCAAATTATGGGGAACTTGCCTTCAACAAGAGTAACTCCAGCAAGACCATTCATCAACTCAGGCGTGGACTTCTGCGGGCCATTTTGGGTTCACTTCAAGATAAGGGGAAAGAAACCACAAAAGGCTTATGTAGCGGTATTTTGCTGTTTTGCCACAAAGGCAGTGCATTTGGAATTAGTCAGCGACTTAACGACGGATGCGTTTATTGGTGCGTTAAAACGATTTATAAGCCGAAGAGGACATTGTCAAAATTTATATTGTGACAACGCAACCAATTTTGTAGGCGCGAAAAACCAGCTTTCTGAACTTACTGACGTTGTTTATGGAAATTCGTAACGAGAATCAATAGTAAAGCAGTGCAGCGGAAAGGGAATAACATTTCATTTTATACCTCCTAGGACTCCACATTTTGGCGGTTTATGGGAAGCAGCGGTAAAATCAGCTAAGCATCTACTAATAAGAAGCACCTCGACAGCGTCCTTAACGTATGAAGAATTGGACACGGTAATCATCGAGGTGGAAGGAATCCTAAATTCCAGACCAATCAGCCCAATGTCCGACAATCCTAACGATCTAACAGCTTTAACTCCAGGCCACTTCCTCATAGGAGAACCCCTTAATGCCCAAGTTGATCCAACGTCTAGGCCACAGCAAACAAATTTATTAACAAGATGGAAACTTGTTTTTCACCTCAAACGCGAGTTTTAGAATCGGTGGTCCCGCGAATATTTATCGGACCTTCAGCTGCGAAATAAGTGGAAGACACAACACAACAACATCAACGTAGGTGACATGGTGATCATCAAAGAAGACAACACACCGGTACTGCAGTGGCCATTAGGAAGAATCATCAATGTATATGAAGGAAACGACGGTGTAGTGAGAGTGGCTGATGTAAAAACTGCTAGTGGCACTTGAAAGAGGCCTATTCATCGGCTTGCACCCTTGCCCAAGGAAACAAATGATACCACAGGACGACAATCAACCAACAAACTGCTTGAGGAAGACAAAATTCCATCAAGGAGGAATAATCCTTCGTTACACCAAGGACTTGCTACACTTCTGATTACCCTACTCATCTTACCACTGGCTTTAGGAGCTGAACTTCAAAATAAGCGATTTGGATCAAGGCTTGGCTTTCATTTTGAAGGAATAGGCTCAACAGCCATATCAACCACTGATTGGAACCTAATAATCTACTATGACATGGAAGGATTTTTGGTAGAACTAGCAGCGCTGTCAAATGGCACAAGGGCCCTGCGCCATTTATGTCAAGAAATCACACAAAAAAGCTCATGTTTTTCTCTG